CAGGAATGTGACGCCCTGGCACTGGGCAGAAATCTGCATGAGGGTCAGGGAGCCAGGCTCCCGGGGCTCTCGGGGGTGAGTGAGGAAGGCCACTGAGTGAGCGAAGGGTGTGGGGGCTTGGCCATCTGCCCTGGGCCCCTAGGCCCCTGTCTGCATCTTGGGCGGCTCTCTTGCTGTCCTGCCAGCAGGGCCTCCAGGGGCAGCGCGGCCCTGCTGCTCTGTTCTGTCAGGGCTCAGGGAGCGTGGGGGATTCTGGTCTGGCCCTCAGGCGTCTGTGGGGTTTTGGCTGGGTCTCCTGCGGTTTGGGCTTCCTGGGCAGCAGGCTCATTCTCCCAAGGCGGTGGCAGAGGGAGGCCTCCCGTTATGAAAGCCACATTGTCTGGCCCGGCCCAGGCTGGGGAGGGGGTTTGCTAGGGCACGGGGTGGGAGCAGGGGGCTCAGGTTACAGTCTAGGGCTTGACTCTCCTGGTCACCCACCCTGGCCCCAGCCCTGCCCTGAGCATATTCCGCCCCTCCTTTCTGAGGCGGAGAAGGGGTCAGACAAGGGAGAGGCTCTTGGAAGGAGACAGAGGAGAGAGCAGAGACAATGGAGAAGAGGAGGAAGAGAAGAGCGGAGAGAGGAGACAGAGAGGTTCCTGGACACAGAGACCCCAGCCCCTGCCCCTCGCCCTCCCTCTAGCTGAAAGAGCCCACCCTTGGAGGAGCTCATTCCCAGCAGTCCCTGCTCCCGTCTGAGGGCTGGCGACAATGGACCATGCACTGGGCTCCTGGCCACTGGGCAGTCGTCTCCTGTGTCTCCACTCTGGTGTCAGGGACCCTCACCGCCACACTGTGGGCACCCACACCACGTAGACAGGGGAGCTGAGAGGCATCTCCAAAGAGGCCAGAGAGGGAGTGGAGCCCCTAAGGCCACCAGGGGTTACCCTGGGAGGTCCAGGTATAGACCCTTACCCCCAGGACGGACAAAAGAGAGGAGAACGGGAGAGAGGAGCTGGGTGGGAGGAAGGCTGGGAATCAGGCTGACTTAGAGGGAGGGTTCAAGTCAAGACTCTGGGGGACACTCCAGAACCCAATCCAGGAACCCCAGAACAAGTGACAGAAGGTGCTGACTTCTCCCTGAGCCTGATTTCATTGCGGGCCTGGACTGAGGCATCTGCACAGTGAGGGGTGGCCAGTTGTCCCTGGGTGGAGGGGCTCCGGTGGGGGGGCTGTGAACACTTGGTTGGGGTGCCAGTCTGTCTCAGCCTGCCAGAGTAGGGGTGGTGGGGACTGGCCGGACAGACAAATGGCAAGAGCAGAGGGGCCACGTCCTGGGGCCACTGGCTTGTGGCAAACAAAAGTTTTAGGGAAGACCTTGGCTGGCTGGGCTGAGGAAAGGGAAGGAGAGAAAGACTCAGACACCCCTCAGCAGAAGGCCCTCACAAATATTTATGCATTGGGCATAAACGGTTGGGACACAGATCTCAGACAGACACGGTGTGTGTGTGTGTGTGTGTGTGTGTGTGTGTGTGTGTGTGCACGCGCGTGTGCGCGCTTAAGTGTCTGGTGCTGGGGTTGGGGTGGTTGGAGCCAACTTGGCTCAGCCTCTGACTGTGTTTTGGGGCCCGCTCCCCTCCTTGGACGAGGTCCCCACCCCTACCGAGCTCACCCTCAGCGTAGCCTAGTCCCTGCGTCTCAGGGAGGAGGGGAGAACTGCAACTCCCTCCCCACTACCTCTGCTCCCGCCCCCCAGTCCTCCCGGGGCCCGGGGCTGCGCTTGGGGCTCCATGGGGTGTGTCGCAGCGAGGGGTGCGCTGGCCGCTCACCTGGGACATCGGCCCGGGACCTGCGGAAAACAGCGCGTGCCGAGAATGGGGGACTGGCAGGGGGGGACGCGGCCGCCATTGTCTGGCCCGGCCCAGGCTGGGGAGGGGGTTTGCTAGGGCACGGGGTGGGAGCAGGGGGCTCAGGTTACAGTCTAGGGCTTGACTCTCCTGGTCACCCACCCTGGCCCCAGCCCTGCCCTGAGCATATTCCGCCCCTCCTTTCTGAGGCGGAGAAGGGGTCAGACAAGGGAGAGGCTCTTGGAAGGAGACAGAGGAGAGAGCAGAGACAATGGAGAAGAGGAGGAAGAGAAGAGCGGAGAGAGGAGACAGAGAGGTTCCTGGACACAGAGACCCCAGCCCCTGCCCCTCGCCCTCCCTCTAGCTGAAAGAGCCCACCCTTGGAGGAGCTCATTCCCAGCAGTCCCTGCTCCCGTCTGAGGGCTGGCGACAATGGACCATGCACTGGGCTCCTGGCCACTGGGCAGTCGTCTCCTGTGTCTCCACTCTGGTGTCAGGGACCCTCACCGCCACACTGTGGGCACCCACACCACGTAGACAGGGGAGCTGAGAGGCGTCTCCAAAGAGGCCAGAGAGGGAGCGGAGCCCCTAAGGCCACCAGGGGTTACCCTGGGAGGTCCAGGGATAGAACCTTC